AAACCTTGAATAAATCCCTTCTTTCATCCCCACCTCAGTTACTTTACCTGTTGTTTTCAACTCACCTGAAATGCTCTGGCTCCCTCTAGGGGATGTGCTGAGGGGATCTTACTGAATACTGTTTATGACATATTTTTAGTTATGCATTAGAGGGTCTAACAGTATTGCCTTATAACCTAGGATGGTTAGGCCACTGAAACAACAGTTGCAGGCTGAACCAATCAGAATACTTTGTTCTGCTGCTTCTGTGATTCTGATCAAAACAACTATGTGATGAGGCAGGATAAAAAGGAAGATAAATCTTTAAAAAAGCTCTCTGATCCCGGGGCCTGGGGTGATCTCTGTCCTCAGTGTTTAAGAGTTCTGTTTCTCTCTGTAATTGTTTCCTTGTGCAGCTCCTGGCTCCAGCGGTCGACTGGTTGGATTTCCTGTTGTCCTCACTGTCTCCTCTGGAGCTGAACGACACAGAAGCCGTGGTCCTGTATGCCAAAGAGTACCTGCAGCAGGTGTCAGACCTCATTAACAAGACGGACCGCAGGTCAGAGTCAAACCCTGTGCATTAGAAACCGAAACACGCAGTGAACAGTTGTAAGGTCAGGGCGGGCTCACGGCTTCATTAACAGAGTCAGTCAGAGACAAACATCCTGTAATTATCCTCATCCAGGCAGATGTGTTTACTGTCCTTGTCAACATGAGAACTCCTGATATGATTATTCTGTGTGTGTGTGTGTGTGTTTTCAGTCTGTTGAATAACTACATGATGTGGACCCTGGTTCAGAAGAGTGTGGCCAGTCTGGACCAGCGTTTTGAGAACGCTCAGGACAAACTGCTGGAGAGTCTCTTAGGAACCAAGAAGGTTGGTTACGTCACAGTTACTGCACATGTAATGCTAAGGGTGATAAATGTATGTGTACATGTTGCTGTGTCTGCTAATGAAAACAAAATACTCTTACAGAGACCGTTTGTTTTTCTAACTGAAGTGGAGAGTGTACTGTGTCATAGAGACACACAGAACTGAACAAACCTCTGTCAAATAGTCTCTTCTCTGCTGGGCTGTTGGAGGAATTTAAAGGATGAATTTAAGAGATTTAAAAATTCAAATTAGTTTTTTTAGACCCATTCCTGGGAGCCATCACAGCTGGCCTCCTCCCTATGACCAGAAAACAAGCCCTCTGCTCTGATTGATAAGGTCCAGCATTTAGCACCCACTGGGGTAAAAGACACAGCCATCATCCTACCACCCACCCAAATGTCTTCTGGTTTTCTACATTTCCTGTAGATTGACAGGGAGGACAGTAAATGTAAGCATCAGGCTGGAACCCTTTTTAAAAGTTTAAATGAATTAGATGAAGTTGAAGAGTCAGCTTTGAGAAATCAAATAAGGCAACAAATACATCCAGGAACTATTACAGACTTAATACTGTGTGGATTGTGTCAGATTCAACCTTTCTTAGGTAAATATAAAATGAAATTCTCTCAGTTGGCATGTGTCTTATTACTGTGAACAAGCCATCATGTCAATATCTGGATCTTTGCACATGTACTTTCTCTGTTAGTACTGCTAATATTTGTATTAGTGCTAAGACTGACTTTAGAGCTGCTGCTACTGCGACTCACACAGTTATTTGTTTTTACAGCAAAAGGTATAAATCCTCCTGACTGTCACGTTGGTGGGTAATTATACTCCCTGGGTCTGAGGTTCTCAAAGGTGTAGATTTGTGGTTGATGGTCTGACCTTCCTGGAAGGTACACTGTGTAGGATTTAGCAACATGTAGTGATAATGTAAGGCAAGTTGCTGCTCAGTTACTCACACCTCGGCAAGACATGTCAAAACATAAGAGATAATGATGAAACCTTCAGCCTTCATGTGAACTCCAAACACACATTAAAAAATAATTAATGAACAAAAGCATCAATGGAATTATTTTGTCTTTTATCTACCGTGTTTGTACCACAGAAGGAAAATTACACTGAATTCTAATCACATTTACTTCATTGTGAATATGTGGTTTGTAGTAATTATAGTGTTTTACATCAAATTTGAATCATCTCTGAGCTTGTCGACCTGAGGGGACTACAGAAGAGGGCGCTGCAGAAAAAAAACATTTAATCCAACTCATACACAGTGTACCATTAACTGAATATATATATATATATATATACACACATACATAATATATATGTAAATATATACTGTATATGTATGTACTGCACCATCTCTTCTTTCATATCCTTACTGGATCAGCCCTGTCCTGGTTTTCTTGTCTGTAACTTGTTCTGTTCTGTAAAAACTAGTAAAATATTCCCAAATCGAGTTCATTTTACTGCCTTTACAATCATGTGATTACACTGATGGTTCTGATTGGGTGACACTGGTTCCAGCACTTTCTCTCTAGATTTCAGGATACTGGTCTTGATTTGGTGAACAATGAGTTGCTTGGTCTTAAATGGCTTCTTCATCTCTTCTTCTGTCCATCCTTGTGAGCCAGTGTGTTTTTTTCATTGTGACTTTGTTTGCTGTAGTCCTGCACCCCCCGCTGGCAGACCTGTATAGTGAACACCGATGACACGCTGGGCTTTGCCCTGGGAGCCCTCTTTGTGAAGGCAACATTCGACAAACACAGCAAAGACGTGGTGAGTACCTGCCTGTAGAAACACTGATGTAGTTCAGGTTACCACAGCAACCACAGGTACACATGGACCTGACAGCAGTCTGTCCCTCTGTCCAGGCTGAGGAGATGATCAACGAGATCCGCTCAGAGTTTAAAAAATCTCTGGACAAATTGAGCTGGATGGATGACCAAACTAGACAAGCTGCAAAAGACAAGGTGCGTTTCCAAATGTGTTCTTTATATCAGACTATCAACATAAATAGGAATGGTAAATGTTATTGCAATAATCAAATTTAATTTGTGGTTTATCTGTGGTTACAGTGGTGTTGTTGAGAAGCACCCTGAAACATTCTAGATTCTTAGATGTACTTGGGTGACAGACTACTAATGAATTCATCATTGAATTTTACAGTGAGATTAATCTTAATAATTGGCAATGTATGTTTATCCAACACTAGTCTTTACATATTTCACTTAGTATAAACCTCTTGATACAATACTGAATGCATCCCTCTCTCCATGGTCCCTGTCCAACACCTGTTAGGCAGATGCAATCTATGACATGATTGGATTCCCAGAGTTCATCCTGGATCCCAAAGAGCTGGATGACGTTTATGACGGGGTGAGTAGTGACATCAGCGCTCATGTATTGACCTGTAGACGGTTCAGCTATTGGACCTGGCTCATAAATACAGGATCTCAAACGGAGAAAGAAATGCATTTTAAAGAACTATTTCTTGGAATGATCTTGAGTCTTAGTTTTCAGTTTACCCAGTGTGGGATCAATAATGTCTAATCTAATCTAATCCAATATAATGTGAATCATTTGTTCCCCACATTTGGTTTATTTAATTGTTTTATTTTGCTTAAACAATATTTTTCATAATGTTTTCTTATTATATACTGTATATCATGTGATGTGCTGTTTACCATCAATATTACAGAGTACACTTTACTGCTACTGTATGTATTAATGTATTATTATGATACAAAAACTGTAGCTGTTGGTGCAGTGCTGCCCCCTGCTGTTACGCAGCAGTAGACACACTCATGTGTCTCACTCATCAGTGTCTTGTGTTTCAGTATGACGTGTCAGATGACAGCTTCTTCCAGAACATGTTGAACTTCTACAACTTCTCTGCCCGAGTGATGGCCGACCAGCTGAGGAAGTCACCCAACAAAGACCAGTATGTGAACATACACACACTGGAGACACACGCATGGTCATTGTCAGCAGGCCACTCATTATCTCCTCTTGCTTTCTCCTCCTCTAGGTGGAGTATGACGCCCCCTACAGTTAACGCCTACTACATGCCCACCAAGAATGGGATCGTCTTCCCTGCTGGGATTCTACAGGCTCCTTTCTATGCCCACAACCACCCAAAGTCTGTTCTTTACTTTTAGTACACTACATGTTTCTGCGTGCAGGTTTTTCATCCATAGTTTATCACAGCTTCAACATCAGTTTCCCAATCACTACTGTTTCCTTAAACCCCTGCTGCCAGACTATAAAAACAGTTAGCTTGATAAATAAACATAAACATCATAGACATGTCAGACTCCTCCCACTCTGGCTAACACACACACACATACTTTGTGTTTTCAGGGTGTTAAACTTTGGTGGTATCGGGGTGGTGATGGGCCACGAGCTTACTCACGCCTTTGACGATCAGGGTAAGTGTGGGTCATTCGTTTAATCTAATCTAAATTATACATGATGTTTACACCACAGCTCAAAACACTCTTAAATTGATTAGTGTTAAGATTGACTGGAGTTTGTAGTTTTTATTTAAACAGAAATACATTTTCAGATATTAGTTTTCCTTAAATAAACTTCTTCACCCGTTGTTTCAGGTCGAGAATATGATAAAGAAGGGAACTTGAGGCCATGGTGGCAAAACACATCTGTGGAGGCCTTTCGTCTGAGGACCGAGTGTATGGTGGACCAGTACAGCAACTACACTGTTAACGGAGAACACGTTAATGGAAAACAGACACTTGGAGAAAACATCGCTGACAACGGAGGATTAAAGGCTGCATACCATGTAAATATTAACATTTGTCACATGACCAGAGTTGGTTTGAGTTAACAGTGGGTCACAGTTGTTTTTCTTTATAAGGCCTATCAGTCATGGGTCAAGAAGAATGGAGAGGAAAAGAGACTTCCTGCTGTAAACCTGACCAGTGACCAGCTCTTCTTTGTTGGATTTGCACAGGTACAAACATGTTGGTATCCCACAGGGACATGGCTTACTGAGGTGTTAATGGACTGAGTAAAATGTATGTTCAAAGATCAAACATTAAAGTCTTTGTTTTTGCAGGATATAATTTATTTTGAGACATTTCTTTATGTCAGATATGGGATCCAGTAATGGTGTGATTTACTTTATTCACACCACATTACCAAAAGCTCTTGTAAATCAGAAACTCCTGTGTCTCCAGAAGGCAAAATTACATTTCTTCAAAAAAATCTAATAATCATCATCATTATTCCTTCATATTTCTGTGAAACCCATATCTCTAACTCGGTTGTTCTACTTTTAGGTGTGGTGTTCAGTGCGAACACCAGAGAGTGCTCATGAGAGCCTGGTGACTGACACTCACAGCCCCCCCAGATTCAGAGTCATCGGAACTCTTGCTAACTCTCCAGAGTTTAGCCTACACTTCAACTGTCCCACGAGGACGCCCATGAACCCTGGGAGGCGCTGTGAGGTCTGGTAAACAGACTGGAGGGTGGTGTTGGTGGTGTTGGTGGTGGAGGGTTTCCGGGAATCCGTTACTGATTAGCAGGTTATTTATCAGGACTTGATCAAGGTAATACACTGTGGATGTCACGCTGAAATTCAGAGACGTGAAGGACTGACGATGATGACGATGATGACTCTGATGACGAGGAAGCAACGTGCCATAAAGTTTCTCATTTCTGCTTCATCACTGTTGTTGATTATGGGTAGTGTGTGTGTGTGTGTGTGTGTGTGTGTGTCTGCGTGCTGCTATCACCTGAATGTCACTGTAACACTGTCGCTGTCGCTCTTTCTCTCTCTTTGGAATGACATCACTGTGATGAAACCATTAGGTCATGTGTTTCACAGCGATGTAAAACTTCTGAGTAACAGAAAATGTGACCTACAGTGAAGTGGAGGTCTGTGTTCATTTTTGCCACTAAATGACAAAATTTCTCTCAGTGAAATTGCTTTTGTTTTTTATTTATAAACACAGTCATAACAGAGTTATAGTTAATTCTTGTCCAATGAAAAACCAGCTCTTCTGCTGCTGTGTGCCTTGTTTCATGTTGTTCATTTAGTAAAATCTACCATCACTTTCAAATGTTCAAGACATAGACAGGTCGATCCGGAGGCATAGGTTGTGATGTTCTACCATTTGTGTTTCACTGCTCATTTTATTGTATTTTCATTTATTTTGACAAAGTGAAAACTGTTTCTAATCTTTCCATTACAGTTGCCTATGTGTGATATTTTAACCAATGCAGCAGGCAGGTCTTAACAACCATCACAGTTGAGACCCATAGGGAACATGTCAAGAGAAAGGCATCTGTACCACAGCTCAAATTTAGAGTTCCTCAACCACTGGGCCGCGGGCCAGTACCAAGCCGGTAGTCATTTTACACCTGGATGCAAAGAAAAATAATCAACCTATTTTTCATGTTGTTAATTTATCACAAACTATGTTTCATTTTGAAAATGACCAGATTGTTTCCTGGTCAAAATATCAGTTGGAACATGTGAAGAGTCTTTTCAAAATAAAAGTATTTCCAAAAAGAGAAAGGTCACAGAGGAAAAAGTAGAGCAGCCTTCAGCTTCAAAATAAAAGAATGTTCTACTCTAATAATCTTTATATTTGTTCAAATGACATTTGTTTCATTTATTTTATTTTGTCCTGTATTTTTCTGCACTTTGACAACTGTTCTGAGAAAATATAGTCTTAACAAGAACCTGGTCTGTGTTGAGAAAAAGTGTTTTTTCATCTAATTTGTTAGATTTCATGACTTGAGCAAAACTCAGATGAAATTAAATTATATTGACTGTCCACAGACTGAATAATGTTTTCTGTTACTCAGATGGTCCATTACACTGTAAACCAAAACATTCCACCAAGTAAGCTCTTTATTCATTTAGTCTAGCATTCTTGTGAAAAGTACCATTACAGATCCTCCTCTCAGTTTATCAATGTGACGATGCACTTAAAGTGTTCTTCAGGTCAGGAAATCACAGAAATACAACCAAAACTAATAAAAGATTTTTTGGGCCAGTAACTGCTCTAAACTTTCTTATCATGCTGCTCATAGAATCATCATTTTCTCCCTATTGGAGATCATGAAAATATAGACCTATTTTACAATTAGTATTGTACTGATAAAGGTAAAATAATGTTAAATTATTTTCAGTTTAATAATGAACCTGCAAGTCTCAAAAATGTCTTGCCGATTACAAAGCTTGTGTTGAATTTGAAGATTGTCTTCAGTCACTTATTACCATGATAACCTGCAGTTAATAACACAGCGCCCTCTTTGGTAAAGAACAAGAACAGGCCTTAAAGAAATTCAGATTACACGAGAGAATTTGGAAACGTTGCCTTAAATTTAAGACTAAGCCTTAAAAATGAAGCAAGTTTTAGTTGCAGGCATCACCTGTCAGGTCGGTCAAGTCCAGTCAGGCTTTTGTTTTGTTTACAGTGACCTCAAAAAAGATTTGACCCTAAAGCCATGGTGCATTCAAGGAGTCAAATTTTCATGGGGATGTTCAGGGACACAGGGATCAGATGTTTTAATGTTTGAAAGGTGAGTGTTTATGTTTTTAAAAAGTCCATGACCATAATGAAGAGTAGAAAATGTGTTTTTGTTTGTATTTATTTTATCTTTTTTGTGTGGAAACACAAGCTGGAGCACAAACATAAACAATGTTATTTAATAACCTATATTAACATACTATATTAAAATATAACATGTAGAAAATGTTCTTGCGTTGTGATTAAAAACCAAGTCAAAAGAATTCTCGGCCTCTATTTCCCATGATTCTCTGGTGCTCAGGCTCCTGCCTGATTCTGACAGCAGATAGAACTGTCCTGGACACTGCTGTGTGAAAAAAAACTGGCATTGTTGGCAAAACTGCACTGTGTATGTGTGTGTTTGGTTTTCTATGGCTTATACTGACTCTGAAGATTTACAAACTATGGTCAGACGATGGATAGTTTTTGTACATAATAACTTTTTCTTACTCATATTTTTGCTACAAAAGATCTGTACAAGAAAGACACAAGGTGGTGCAGTTCACTTATAAATTAGAATTATTATAATATTAATACTGTGGTGTTTACATTACATTTTCATATATGGTAGGAAAATACACAGATAAACATCATATAAATCTTTTGTTGTTGTTGTTTTTTAAACTTGTATTTTTAATATTTGGTGATTTGGTCATAAACCGATATCATTTTAAATAAAATACGTAAAAAAGAACGTTCACTAAATGTACGACACATCAACACAAATGTTTTCTATTCACAACAACATTCTCATCAACAACAAAAACGTTACCTTGTCGTTTTTAAAGAACATTCTCGTAGGCCGTATTAATAACTGACTGGCCGAGATAAGTGTCTGTGGTAACTTCAGTGTCATCTGAAAAAAACAAATACAGAGTCCAGAGACTCAGCGTTGTCCAGTGTGAGAGGAGAAAGTCCCAGTTTGTTTCCTAACTTTCTGGATCGAGGATAAGGCTGTGGGAGAAGGGCGGGGTTTAAAGTTTGAAGCCATCCTGCTGCTGCTCCTCTGTTTGTGTCTCACAAACTCCACCCGGAACATAACAGAGAAGAGCCGCAGTTGTCCTGAATGCACCGGAGCTGACAGGTGAATCCTGCTCGTCCTTAGCTTCCTTTGTTTAACCACGGACGGCTGTGTCGGTGAGTGTGGACCTGTTCTAGTTTCTGGAAGAGGGTCTTACCGTAACGTTTGTGACAACACGTTAAAAAGGAAGAAAACAAAAATTACACTCCAGTCTCCTTCTCTGTAGTTTTTCTGAACATATGTCAGAAGAAGGAAAGAAAGAAGAGAGTTTTTTTTAATGTAATGTCATTTTGGTGTAGACCAAGGGGCTGTTCTGTGATGCCGTGTACGGGGCAATACTTTTAACAAGGCAGTAATGTTTTGTATTTGTTTTTATGTGTTTATGTTATTCTGTGTTTTCACAAAATTAATTTCTGTCTAAATATGAGCTGATTCATTTGAATTATTTTATGGTTATCCCATGACAGTGCCTAATGCTTCAGAACTCCCGTTGAACTTATTTTGGCGGTAATGTCAGTCATTTAAAGCTAAGGTTCCCAGCCCCTAGTTGGGACCTATTTGATGGAGTGGAAAGGTATGGTGCAACAAGGCAAATTGATTTAATTAATTTAAATTTCAGTGTTTTCTTTATTTGTGCCCCAGTGGGGAAAGTGCAGTGATTTGTGATGTGTTATTATCTTTTTGTTCAGTTCGGTTTTAAAGCAATGACTGTGCATGTGTTCACAGAGGGTTTGGACAAATGTCTTCTCTTCTATAAGGGGGCGCTGCAGAGAAGAACAGGAACCACTGTTATACACAGTTGAATCAGTTTCTCAGTTGCTTCTATATAAATAGAATTGAATTTCTTCAAGAAATAAAAAATCATTAAAGACGCAACTTTATATGTCTCTACACACACACCCCATTAAGATGTGTATGCGTGTGTCCATGTACAACAGGAGAAAAATGAGGAGGTCGGGGGAGCAGAGAGAGGATGACAACACAGTGCTCATTGACATGGACACAGGACCAGAGAAAAACTATGGCAGTTTGACAGAGGTGAGTTGGACACATGTGGCTGCAGAGACCGAGGTTAAAGGGATGAACTGACAATGGCCAGATCATCTCATTAACACTGTACTGTATGGTGTTAGGTATGAGGATGTATTCATGGAGTCCCTTGCTAGAGCATTTGTCAAAATCAATATCTTTAATTCTGCTCCAGAGAGTCCAGGTCATAAAGATAAACTAGTAGGCCATGAAGCTGTGACAGTCACCTCTCCTGATCCTTGGGTCTTTTGAATAACTGCATATCTTCTGACTGATTACTGAGTGTCTTTCAATATTTGATTCTTGTGTTTGCTTAGAGAATAAAACAGCAGTGTTCAAGTTTTTTTTTTTTATCTAGTTACCTAAGTAAACAAAGGAAGTAAAAGGTTCGTTCATATAGTAGGTGTTTGTTGTCTCGTCACCTTTACAACATTTAAAGTTTCAGGAATATAATCCTCTGGGTAAATGACATTGTGCAAAAAACATTAAGCTCTTAATACCTTGGCTAAAACTAACAGTCAAAATGCTGCCGTGTTTGTCTCAACACTCTCACAATGCAGCTTCAGTATGTAAAAATCAACATTATGCCTGGAGGGAATATTATAAGATAACGTCTCCAGTAAGTTATTAATTCAACTTTATTTTCTTCTCCTTCATTTCAACAAGCAGCTGTTTTTAAATGTCTGTTGTTGTTGTTGTCTCCTTGCTCGAAGCACGTCCTCATGTCCACAGCTGTTAAGACGGTTCAATTAAGGTTCAACATCAAAGTCTTGGCTTCAATTTATTAACAATTATAACAATAACAAACTGGCAGGAAATGTTGACTGGTTGAAATGAGTGAAAAACAGTGCTTTTACATTTAGTCATAGACGAATGGGAAGTGTTGTTGTCCTTTAATCAGAGCTTTAATGACTGCAGCCGGAAACAGGAAGCACATGTTTTGTTCTGATCTCTTCATTGCTGTGACTCTCATTAGTTTGTTGTTCACAAGCTGCAGCTTCTGGGTTTCTGGGGTTCATATATGTTTTCCTTTGCGAAAGTGAACGCTACAGTTGTTTAAACACTGCTCACTGACTGGGACAACAATGGCTCCATGATGACATGAGTGTTGGTGATAAAGAGCTGAGTTCATCACATCATTAGTGTTGGTTCTATAATGATGCGTCAGAACTGGAGGGCTGTCACAGTTGTCTTCCAGTTTTATCATTAATGATCAATGTGCGTTTTTTTTTTTTAGGAAGCACATGTTCAGACACCGGATGAGAATGTGTTCAGTGACAGAAACACTCGCATTGGTGAGTCAAATGTGAATATGTTTTTTGGTTGTTTTTTTAATTAAACTATTATGGTTATCAGCCCCAGCTAACAGTGGTGCTTAGAAGTTGCTTCTGCCCTTTAACCCACTAGCATTTTTTAATGCCATCAATTGCATTTTGTGCTGCATTAGGGTTTTTATGTGACCCTGTGACATGAGCAGTACAGAAAATGAGTGTTGTTAGCTTAAGTTTCATATCAAGCTTTTTAAATAAAACCACGGGCTGCCCAACTGTAACTCACTGTAACTTTTCTTGTGTGTGGGGTTATTCCAGACAAATTGATCAGTAAGGTGTTGGTGTTTCATGGTGTTGGTTTTACTGAGCCTCAGTGATAATGTGAGTTCTGCTCGTCCACTGCTCAGATTTTGTCTTGGTGTGGGAGGAGACAAAGATTTCCGAGAAGGTGGAGGGCGCTGGTGTCAACTCCATGCACGTGAAATGGAGAAAGGAGTTTCTGAGCAGACTGAAACGTAGAGGTCTGCTGGTGGAGCAGGTGAGCTGAACAACAACTGCAGGAAACAATAGGCAGGAAAATCAAGCACTGAAAAAATCCAAACATTCAACCAGTATGTCTTGAATGTTTGTCTTTGGCCTTTAACTTTAAGTAAACTAAGGGTAAAAGCCAATTACTACATCAATATTCTCGAGCTATATATAAAATGTAATGTTTTGACACCAACTGTATTAGTGTGTAGGCCACTGTAGTTTCTATAATACACAATCTTTGTGTCCCAAAGTAGGGGATATATCCAGTGGTGTAGAGCTCTGTGGGACTCCAGAATATGATTTCATTGTTCCTTTACTTTTCTTGACAGAAAAAAGTGACTAAGCCTAAAAAGTCCATCAATTTTGTCCTGCTCAGCGCTCCGTGGAATGTCCTTTGTTATTATGCTGAAGAGATCAGCCTGAGGGTCCCGCTGCAGGTAAAACACTCAGTCCTCTGATAAGTGTTTGCTCCTGCAGTCATATCAGTGGTCTCAACCTTTTTTTTAAATTATTTATTCTCCTGCAGATAGTCAACTATTCAAACATTACTTGGTCTGAAAAGATTCTATCAAAGCTGTCACTCCCCAACCCGATGACCCAGGAGGTCCCCAACCCCCCAGTTTGTTACTACACCTGTGAGTTTAGGAACAACAAGCTGGAAAGGTGATCAGCCAACATGTCAAACAGTTACTATCAACACTCAACAGTGTGATTTCAGATGTGTGGTTCTGTACTTGAAAACTGTTTCATTGTTCTGTCAAAAATATCCTTTTCACCCAGTGCAGTTCTAAAACAAAGTGGCATTTCAACAGCCCTGTAGACAAGAACTTCAACACAGTCTAAACATGTGGAACCAGATAAACCACCAGGGGCTGCTGTTGATACTGGTAGATGGGTTAGAAAGTGTAAATGTGAAAATATGAATTTTCCCCATGTACCACAGTTCGAGAACCACTGGTTTAGGCAAAGGCTATAGATTGAAACTAAGCTATTTCCAAACAACAGTAGAAGGAAGCTTTAGTAAAGCTGAATGTTGGCTTTGCAGTTTGAAGAGCAAATCTGAAGCAACAATGGATTCTTACTGTATTCTTAGGCTAATTTATTGTCAGATCATCAAATAAACCACGTTCTATTAGAAACAACAGAGAAGAAACAAACCACAACAAAACTGTCATGTACATTTATGGTCTCTCTTTAAAAGGCTAACATAATTATATGTACTGCTGCCTCCTACTGGTTTGGTTTCTCTGAATACTGCAGACGAAGTCTCCAAGACCATTAATCTAGTCTTTGTTTTAAAGGTTTCTGGGCAGCAACGACCATGAAGTGTTTTTTAAGACTACCCAGCGCCACCAGGTGGTGAGTACACAAATCTGCCACCTAACAGTCAGTGCAGACATAAATTGTGTTGGAATAATCCTCAAGTAGAGGAGAATCCTGGAGAGTGTTCAGATCCAGCCTGCAGGAGGATCACTACGTTTAGTTGTAATATGAAGTTGTTGGCTCACCCATCTAACCAAATTCAACAAATAAAAAGAAATGACATTCTGAAAAGATTTACTCTGACTGAAAAAGTAAAAAAAGAAGTTATTTAATGAGCCGAGGAGCAAACATGATCAGATTAAGTTTATAATCATTCTGGTGTTTGTGTGTGCATACTTTAGAACGTGTAATTACATCAGCAATGAGAGGTGAAGATTGATGTTTGATTTAATTAATAGGCTACACCACAGTAGCTTACGATATCCTTGGTAAATAAACCGTAAACGACACGCATGACATATGTGAGAAGAGGAATGACGGAGAGGAACCAGTCGGTGTTCTTAACTGATGATGAGCAATAGAGAAATACAGAAAGTACAGTACAGATTATAATTTCTGCTCTGAGGCCATTTAATCCAGAATCAGAATTATTGGCCAGGTGTGGTTATTATTACTACCTACGCATTAAAGACAAAAATTTAAAAAGGTCTGATCAGAATTTCTGGATTTTCTAAGCAGTGAGGAAGACTTTAGGTAGATGCGCTGCTGTGCCTCTCCTTTTGCAGCGTTTTGATTTTAGTTGAAATTGTGTGTTAATAGTCAGTAACTAACAGACATTTGATGGACCTGTTAAACTTCATGTTAAATCCCTCCATTCGATTAATGCATATTTATTGCGAAAAACATTTAAAAAGAAAATTGTAGTATTCCCTGTAGGTGTAAATGTCATTTTTCATTTTTGTTGGTTTAAAGAGCAGCCAGGAGTCGTACTCACACACCCCTCTGATAAATCCACAGGAGAACATTCCGGATGCTTCAGTCAACATTTGGGTGCTGATAGTGCCGCCAAAACATTTGCATATCTACATAGTGCTGAAGAACACACAGTGTGCAAACACAGCTCCAGCACTTTGTCAAGTACTTTAAAATGGAAGGAATGATCTAGCTGCAGACATGAGTGAGAAATTAATAAGTCATGTTTTACATTTTTGTTATGATTATTTGATGAATTTACTAAGTTTTTTTGATCATAGACTTTATATAATGTCACATTTAAAGGCGTTAACATTACATAAGGATTAGGGATGTAACAATGCATCGTGAATTGGTAAAAATCTATACAGATTTGTGACAATTTGTCTAGGCTACGTTAGGACTAGGCTACGTTATTTCAAAAGTCACTGGTCATTCCATGAGACCACACACTCCTGTAAAGTAGGTATGTGTATGTATGTGACCAAAGATGCTGGTTGTAACCCACTATTAAAACCTAGAAGTCAGGTGCCTGAGTAGCCTAGGTGACATTCAGGTCTTCACCCACAGACACAAGCAGGGTTTAACGCTTCTGTAAAGAAAAGAACTCTTTCCACTTAATATTTTTTAGCTTCTTAATAAGAGTGTTAAATAAGAAGAGTGAGAGAAGAGTGATGTGCAGTGTTTCTGTAAAGAAATGTACATTTTTTAAATTCTGTTATGTAAGGTAACAATTTGAGTTTATGAGGTACACAAGTAATCGCCCAGTCAGCTGGTTGATTTATTAGTCGACACGTTCTGAGTCAACCAAAATTGTGATCGGTCCATTTTTTTGCTATTTTTATATGTATACAGTATATTTTGTTTGTGTTAGTTTCATCTGGAGGGAAGTTCCAAGAGGGCAGCGGTGGCTTGGTGGCTACCAAGAATGGGGAATAATAACGTATCATTGAGTGTATTGTTGAATTCCTAGTCAGAGAGAAAAATAAATGAACAAATGGATGTTGTCTTTATCCTAAACTAAGAAAATATTTCTGCACTGACCGCATCAAAGTGCATGTCAGACCATCAGCTTGTTTTTATTATGGCCTACAGAAATAATGTCATGAATCTGGTCCTTTGCCCACAGCTGTACGAGATCCTGGCCCGGACTCCGTATGGTTCTGTGAAAAAAGGCCAGGTGGGTGTGGACCGTTTACTGAGTGAGCACATCTTCACCGCTGCCTACCCTCTGCATGAGGTGAGTTTCGCCGGCCTAAACCTTAAAGCCTGGTGTGTGAGTCCTCAAAGCAACAACAACATCATGACTGTACATGTCTACGTACAGGGTGATTACCTACACCCTGGAGCTGATGTCCCCCCTCAGGCTTTAAGTGTTCGGCAGATACTGTACTCCTACTGGGCCAAGTGGTCCTGCTGGAAATGCTACCAACCACTGGACCACATCAGAGAATACTTTGGAGAGAAAACCGCACTATACTTTGCCTGGCTCGGTAACCATAGCAACAAATTTACACACAAACAGTAAACGTTCAATACAACAGGAAGTATCTAATTCTGCTGTACGTTCACTTAACTGTTCACTCCCGCTCACAAATGTCTTACTGTAGGTTTCTACACCAACAACTTCAAACAGTAATTCACACTCACTGGGTTTCTACAGCAACTATGTCTTACCTTAGGTTTCCATGGCAACAATGTCTTACAGTTATTAAAATACTGGCCATTGTTTTTCAATGCAAACAATGTTGGATTGTGGGTTTTTGGAAATTGCTTCTTGCTGTAGTTTTCTATATCAACCACCGCTAACATGCTAACTGTGGCTGTAGTTATTATGCTATCTGTGCTGGACTGTAGGTGATACTAGGTTTTTGAAGTAACTGTGTGACATTCATTTGCATGCTGATTCTGACTGACTGTTATCTGTGCTATGATGACGTTGTCTAATTGTGTGTTTCCATGCGGACTGTTTCTATCTGTAGGTTTCTATACTGCTTGGCTGTTACCGGCATCTATTGTTGGTACTGTGGTCTTTCTGACTGGACTATGGGTGATGGTAACAGACGTTCCATCGTAAGTAGAAACTGTTGATGTTGTACTTCATATCCTATACATATTATTGTGTTTACATGTGCATGTGTGTGTGTGTGTGTGTGTGTGTGCAGGAAGGAGGTTTGTGACACTTCAAATGACTACATCATGTGTCCAACCTGTGAAGGCTGCCCCTACTGGAATTATTCTACCATCTGTGTGACCTACAAGGTACAACAGCCTCAGTCCACGTCTTGTTCCTCATGTCACGTGTAGTTATTTACCATTTCCACATGCACCTCTGTGTGTGTGTGTGTGTTTAGATTGGCGTACTTTTTGACAATGGAGGCACAGTCTTCTTCAGCGTCTTCATGTCTCTGTGGGCTGTTACCTTCCTGGAGTACTGGAAAAGGACGTGTTCCACTCTGTCTCACCGCTGGAACTGCTCCGACTTTGAGGAGATTGAGGTGAGAGTCTGTCCACTTCTCAAACCTGTCAATCAAGCTGTGCCCTTTTGAGAGTAAAGATGAAGCAGTCATCCATATAGTCAAAATAGTCTCAGCATGGACAGGCATCCACTGAACCTCGGTGCTGTCCACAGGAACGTCCTCGCCCTGAGTTCACTGCCATGGCTCCAATGACAATAAGGAACCCAGTTACAGGAGCAGAAGAACCCTATTTTCCTGGAAAGAAACGCTTCCAGAGAATCATAAGCGGTTGCATGGTCATCATCATGATGGTGAGTTGACTTTCTTTAAAGATTGCTGATTAAACATGATTCTTCTTCTGGCTGGCAAACTAACTAAGTGAGTTACTGCCATCTACTGGGCTTGTGTGTATTTTTATTGTACACTGTGCCATTGAGAAACTGAGAACAGATGTTTTATTACTATAAATACTACTCTTACTTAATTATTATATTAATTATTATTTATTAATCCTGTATCCCAAAAGCATTTCTTTTTAAACCTGTCTTGTCTTTTCTGAAATACAATCTGATCAAGTTGACTAAAAACAACACTAACCAACGACAGGATTAAAATGTATGTTTGTCTATGTTTGATGTCTTGTTTGTAATTGGAAATTATAACCTTTAAGTATTTTTATTGTGTGGTGATGCTGTGAAGTTGAGGTTTGCATGCTTGCTGTTTAGGACATCAAGTCTTTTGGAGACAGCTGACAGCTACATAATAACCTTTTTATTTGTGTTTGTGTGCGTGCGTGCAGATCATCCTGGTGGTGATGTGCCTCATTGCCATTATTCTGTATCGTACCATGGTCAGTATCTTCATCCAGAAATCTGGTCTGAGGTTCATCAGCTCCTCTGTGAGTACAACAACAAAACAGCAGCATACAACAAAGTAGCACACAGTTCAAGGATAAACTGTGTGTGTGTGCGTGTGTGTGTGTCTTCAGGCTAAAAGAATAGCCAGTATTACAGCCTCAGTGTTGAACCTGTTGATCATCCTGCTGTTGTCCAGACTTTACACCGCCCTGGCAGAAATCCTCACCCGGTGGGGTGAGTCACCTCTTCACATTCACCCCCTTTACTTCAGTTTAAAATATTGTAACTTTAATACAGTTCTGTTTGTCCACATTTGTCTTTGTTAGAAATGCATCGCACTCAGAACAAATATGAAGACATGTTCATCCTCAAAGTTTTCGTCTTCCAGTTTGTTAACTTCTACTCCTCTCCAGTTTACATTGCCTTCTTTAAAGGCAGGTAGGAACCGATACTGGAACTGGAACTGATTTTGTATTAACTTGGGTGGTGCATAGTTTTTTTTTTTTTCAAGTCAAGTAAAACAAACCAAAAAACAGTTGACATTAATTAAAGGTCTGATCGCTTTGAAGTGTGTTACAATGAACTAAGAGTGGGGCCACAACTCCCCCTACAGGCTGAACATGTAACTCAGATATGAGGGAATAACTAACAATAATGATAATAAAAATAATAATAATGCTCGTGTTGTACAACTCATGTGGGTTAAAGTTGTGCAGAGTAAATGCTCCAGTGTCACTCTTATTAACACATTATTGATTTTTCAGTCAATTGCAGTGTTTGTTGAAAAAATATGCAGTTATTGTTGAGAAATAAAAAAAATACACGTCATTTTTTAAAATGTTAACTTTTATGACGAATTTCTGTTCTGAAGGTAACACTTTTCAGAACAAGACTGCAGTTGTTTAAAGATAATTTTTCTCTATTTTTACTTTGAACCAAGGGAAAATACTGTAGCCTTGTTAAGTAAGACAGTATGTGGAGAACTGACTGCTGTGTCTTCTCAGGTTTGTTGGTTACCCTGGAAAATTCAACACACTGTTTGGAATTCGCAACGAAGATGTGAGTTTGTCACATAACACAACATAGTTTTCCCAGTCTGGGAAGAATATCCCAGAGCAGGGCTGTGCTCCTGCACACAAGTGGAGTTATTTTCCTCTAACTTTAAATTACACCTTTAACGAAGAAGAAAAATACCTAATTATTCTAGTAAATGGGAGTATCTTACATGTAGCATCAGGCAAAGACCAAAAACAACATACAATATTTCAAGAAACATGAGATAATGATTCAGTCATGATGATCATGATCATGTTGTCAGAGTCACAGTCTGCTTCATGGTCAGTTTTGAACCATCGTGAGTACACCGTGATGCACATCCTCTTACAGTAAACAATACTGTGATTCAACACCTTGTATCTGTGTTAATGTGCTCCAGTGTGCAGAAGGTGGATGTCTGACAGAACTGGCCCAGGAGCTGCTCGTCATCATGGTGGGAAAACAGCTCATCAATAATGTCCAGGAGTTCCTTGTCCCGTAATCTCGCTCTCTTTGTCTCTCTCTCTCTCACACACACACACACACACACAGACACACACCACATAGGATATATTTATTATTTCATGTATGTAAAAAAAAACAGGGCTGCCCTCTAGTGGCTGGCTGCAGTAATGCTCATTGAGTCTGTTCCTGGCTCTACCTTGATGTTGAAAGTGAAAGCGAATTAATTGTGACAGAGCACACAACGAACTGTGAGCAGGCCAGGGAGCAGTGTGTGGGGACAGTGCCATGCTCTGTGTCTCTTGGCAGGTGGTGGATTTGAACCAGAAACCTTCCAGACCCAAGTTTGCTTTCTTAACCACCAAGCTAAGAAACCAAACCAACCCAGAAAAAAACAAATTATTGGTTATATTATATTCATGGACATTCATGGATTCTAGAAAGTGTTGGACTGCGTTTTATCTGATGCAGCTGAGCAAACATTTGAATTAGGACACAAACGTTCACTTGGCCTCCTGTTCACTGTACAGCTAATCGAATCTTAACTGTGGGCATTTTGGTGGCCAATAACCAGAAGACTCATGTCTTAATTTAACTTTCAATATATATACATTCAACAGTGATGCAGTAAGGCTTAGAACATGTCGGTGTAACAGCTTTCATTTTGGCAGGAAACTCAAGTCTTGGTGGCAGAAGAGGAGTTTGAATCAGAAACAGCAGGGGGAGAAGAAGAAGGATGGTGTGGAAAAGAGTCAAAGTCAGCAGCAAAAGGAGATTACTCCCTGGGAGAAAGACTACCAGCTGCTGCTGTGTGAGGGTCTCCTCACCGAGTACCTAGAAATGGGTGAGGAGTGTGGGGGCTGCTGGGTGACTAAGTGTCAGAGCATACTGTCTACATATTATAAATGACTTTTATCTGTCCTCCTATTCCTCCACCTCAGTTATTCAGTTTGGCTTCATCACTGTCTTCGTGGCAGCCTGTCCTCTTGCTCCACTCTTCGCTCTAATTAATAACTGGATAGAGATTCGTCTGGATGCTCAGAAGTTTGTGACTGAATATCGCCGCCCTGTCGTTGAGAGAACCCCTGACATTGGCATCTGGCTTCCGATCATGCAGTTCATCACACAGGTGGCAGTCTTCATCAATGTAGGTCTTTTTAACTAAATTTGTCTCATTGTAAAGGGTTTATAAGTAGCTGTAAGAAACAGACTCCTTTCTTACCTGTAGGCTTTCCTCATCGCTTTCACCTCCTCATTTGTGCCTCGCCTGTATTATCGCTACACAAAAAATAGGAACCTTGAAGGTTATGTGAACTTCACACTGGCGACAGCACACATCAACTTCAACCAACAAAATGAGACGTCCTGTAGGTAGGAAAACATTCCTCTTATGTCCTTCATTTGGATGGCTCCATTCTACTTTTACATGTATGACACTGTAACCTGTAGTACCGGTAGATACTGGTTGCAATCTGCATCTTTATTCTCTCCTCTTGTTTATAGCAATATATGCAGTTTTTAGGATGTAGTTAACTTCGGTGATGTGACAGCAGACAGTGAGATATCATGAAGTTCAATTTCATTTAACTGGCCTAAAAACTATTATTTGTTAGCCTCAAATAATTTGTCTTTGTTTGTCTACATGACAATGACAGTCAACACAATTAAATACTCCTCCAATAGGTGGCAACAACATAGATGGCTTTATTTTTTAAGAGGAAACGTCAAAAACAGCTTTTTCACTTTTCTCTTTGTGTATAATAACAGATGAATGTTCCTGCTTGTTATCTGCAGGTACATGGGTTTTCAGGATGAAAATGGTCATTACATACCAGAGTACTTTGAACTACTCGCCATACGTTTAACTTTTGTCATTGTCTTTGAGGTCAGTTTCTTCTACGTATCTCATAAAATTGGAATGTTTACATCATGGGGTTCATCTGGTCACTTAAAATCAAAGGTTCTCCTGTTTTTCCACCAAAGCACGTGGTTTTCTTCATCGGTCGTTTTATTGACTTGATGGTGCCTGATGTCCCTGAGGAGGTAGAGATGAAGATTAAGAGGGAGTACTACATGGCCAAAGCAGCTCTGGCTGAGAACAGGGTACAGTGATACTATCAATACTTTAGTATTGATTTTAAAAGTTGTTGTCACAAAATGGTTTTAAATTATTTATTGTTTTTCTTTTAGTTTTACTCTGTCATTTTGTCATTGGTTTTCTGTGCTTGCAGTCGATGGGCTCATTCATGATTCCTGATGAACAGGAAGACTACTCCACTAGTGTGCGCCACCGAACACCTCATCCTTCAACAACAAACCCCAGTGTCTCTCTACCAGCAAAAGTAAAAAAGACCTCAGGGGAAAATGGCTCATTGGACACACATTAAAGTAAAACACGAGAGGACTCTTAAACATCAACATTTAACTGGACATCCTTAATTATGGAACGTCTCTCCTGGGTCATTATTTGTGACTGATTCACAAATGTACAATGATGTATATGCAATCTCCACAAGCCTGGTGTTGAATTCTTTCAGATAATGACACATTATCATTATCAGCACACTAAGGAATGCACGACAGAATGCAGTATGTATGTGACAATGTTGTTTCATGCCTACAGTCTGTGAAAGACACTGACCTCTGCTGGAGATCTACAAAAGTAAAACCACAAAAAAAAAAAAAAAAAAAGAACCACAGAGCGATGTTCTATCAGTTTATGTCAACACACACAATAAAGTGACTTCATATGGATCCTTATTAGATCACTGGCAGGCGTCCTATTTTCTATAACCTAGAAGGAGTTATTTCTGTTATCTCTTCTCTTGAGATCAATCTCTTAAGAATTTTATTACATTAGTTAAACTAAAATTAACTATAAAATTCTCAATGACCAATAGAATTTATTCAAACCAATCAAATTTTCCTGGTTTTACTTTCAATTATCAAAATATATAGGAGTGTATTTATACTTTTTATAAAGGTTATCTATGTGCTCACCCACCCACACCTGGGTTTTTGTTGCTTTTTTAAAAAAAAAAAAAAATCATTTCATTTATTTTCTTGTAATGTGTATACTCGTTTTATTTATTCTAACACTTCACTTCAGGATCACAAATTCTCATCCAGCATGTAGTCATCCGTTGTTGATGTGAACATGATTTGAACACACCATAGTTTTTGTATTCATCTCTGCAGTGTTATACAGAAACAGGTTCTCATCATGTTTACCATATAAAACATTGTGAACCATCATTCTGTGGGCATGGTGAGAAGCATTGTAGCTATCGCTTCTTTTACATATGTCATCATATTTTCTCTTTTCACCTTGAAATATATTCCTGTCTCAATAATTTATTGTATACTTATACATTAATTTAAAGAGAAATAAACAATATTTTCTTTACATGCGTGGTCACATATTGTTGGTAATAGTTTAAAATGTCCGAAGAAATTCGAATTACCCATACTTTGCCTTTTATGTAAAAACAAATATTAAAAGATCTTATATACTATAGTATCTTTCAAAATGGCTAATTAGAACATGAAAAGGTACAAACAAAATGTAAATTGTGAGTTTGTATTATTGGCGCACTGCTGTGACATCTGTCACACATCTATTTTAGTCTGAATGTTATATTTTTTAAAAGCCAAACAGACGCATACATGCAACTACAAGAAGAAAGTGCCAATCCAGACGTTTAACGTTTAATATGGAATATATGGCAGTAGGATTTTGCTTTTTGAGTTACGTTTAAATTTGCACTCCAATAATGAGTATTGTCATTGTGGATTTGAGTCATTAGTGAAAGTTAATCTCTGCCACAAAAATACCTTTTTGTAAACTTATTGAGAATTTTGCTGATTGTTTGGTGTTCTGATCAGGCGTGCTGCGGGCAACCATACCCGTTGCATGCGTGACGTGTAGGACCTCCCCTCCGACACACAGCAGCAGTAATGGCGGACTACGATAGCTACGATGATAGAGACCGGGCCTATGGCAGCTTTGGCGGCGGCAGAGGGTGAGTCTATGCTTGGCATGGCGGCATCGCTGCTTTATACTGCCCCGTACAAATGTGGCACAATTGCGGCGTTTCCCGCTACCGCCTACCATGACCCTGCGAGCAGAGGCTCCGGCCAATTAGCTCGACCCGCACGACGCCTGCTGTGGCGGGAGGGTGGTGAGAAAGGCCACGGTGAGCGGCTGGGAAACACCGTGGTACAGTGAATCACGGGTTAGCTTTGCGCTAACAGGTAACGGTCCGCTAACGGTTGCATGGCTACAGTTGCGTACTGATACTGACACTGACGGATCCAGGTGACCGGAGTTGACCCGGAGCTCACAGTTGAAATAATAGGGGACGGTGGTCAGTGTTTGTAGTTAAATAAAATGTGCACAGGGAGACAAGACAGCGATAAAATGCAGCAAAGGAAGAGGCCGCAGCTTGTTGCGACGGATCCGCCACTGCAGACAGCCCGCATGGCTTCATCATGTGTCCGCAGCTTGTGTTACATTTAATCCATGACCTTACGAAGCATCTATCAGAGGCATTGGTAATGGATATGTGATCACAAAAGCACATGTGGTGTACTTTTTAGGCCAATTATGTGTTGTCTGCTAATCGGTGACGATTGTGATGAATGAAACGTCTGCAGCGGATTCATTATGATCGGTGTATTTATCCGTCAAACAAACAGGTCATAAATAAGCCCCAGGTTTGATGGTGAACATTACGTTTGATGAATTCTTCTGTCCCAGTAACATAATCTATTCACATTGCATAATGTTTACCAACGTGTGTACCGAACAAGGCTACGGAGCCCCAGAGTGGACATGAAAGACTTTTTGTTGCAGTGCGAAATCTTGTAAAAGGTTTTTATACATGTATATTGAGGTATTTGGTTTTGCTCAGTTGTTTAAACCAAGTATTTGTAATATAACGACTTTTAAAATTTAAAGTCAATTCAAAATTAAAGAAAAAAAATAGAACTGAGCAATGATGCACATCCCTAAGTATTTACTATTGCAAGCTGTTATAACTATTCGTAAGGGTAATACAACTCCTTTAAGGTTCTTCCAACTTCCAACATAATTTTTACCTTTTCAAAGTTGAACACGATTCTTAAAAATGTAGAATGGGTCATTAAATTTAAATTCCTTAAATTACCAAAAGGGAACTGCCAATGGATTAATAAAGTTCTATCTATCTCTATCTGTATATACACGGTACATACACACTACTGAGAAGTTGCAACAGAATTAAAATTCAAGAGGCAGTCAATTTTCTTGTTGTGTCTGTGCCTACAAAAAATGCCCTATACAAATAAAAATAACTTTGAATTTGCCTTATGTTGGTCTTGTGTTTTAACGTTATCTTAAATTAAAACAAGTACCTCAAAAGGCAAAAAAGTGTGGTCAAAACCAGCCGAGGTCAGACTTGATGCAGCTTATGTGGTATTTGTTGTTGTTGTATGAAAGTTGACTTACATACAGAAGACAACTACATTCTACTGTCAGTCAGTTTAACTCAACTTTCAGGAAACCTCATCTTTATAAAGTCTGGTCAGTAGCAACTAGCAGAGTTGAGAGTAAATAAACTTTGAACTAAAGTTTTGTTTCAGAATACATCAATGGAAGTATCACTGTTCATAGTACAGAATGACACCTCGTTTCATGGCTGCCACCTTTCAGGTCGTTACAAGCCACTGAAGTGTTGACCTGACCTCTGTCTCTTCGTCCTTCTCAGGTCCAGAGGAGGCAGTGGGAGCGCCGGCGGCCCCAGGAAGCAGAGGGAACTGCCAACAGAGCCACCATACACGGCATACGTAGGAAATCTGCCATGGTATTCTGTGCAAGGTGACATTGACCACATCTTCAAAGAGCTGAAGATCCGCAATGTCCGGTTGGTTAGAGACAAAGAGACAGACAAGTTCAAAGGTGAGCGAAGTTTGACGGGACAGTTTTTGCAATGCCACAGTCTTCAGTGTTTGTGAGTTTGTGAGTGTGTGAGGAGCCATAACTAAGGGTGTACTTACACTAGGGCCAGTTGTATCATGCCGTGCAAAACTGCCAATTGTCCCCCCTCTTCATTTATTGACTTTGTGAGGCAGCAATTCGCAAATGTTTGCGGAGGCAGCAAGAGATGTACTTAACCCCGTTTGCACTCACACTTGCCGTACAATCTGCACTTTAGGGGGCAATCACACTTGGGCACAATTTAGTCAGATAGGAATGTTCCAAGCTCACAATCAGTAACAGATGGAACAGTGAGGTTAGCTGTGGACGAGACTGAAGTGACTGTCGTTGTGATTTAAACAAAATAAACCCAAAAATAATTGATATGATTTATATGTGGCCACATAAAACTAAACAAATGATTAAAAGATTAAAATCAACTTAAAATAAAATCTGTTATAGAACACAATTGATGACTTAAATAATTTACACTAAATAAGTTTATCATTGGTCCAATATAAATATATTCTTAAGTATACAAGTATTGGGTCACATAATTAGTAGCTCTAGTGACTTTACAGAAAGGTCCTGTAGCCCTTCACATCTGTTTTCTGAGAGAAATACATGGTACATGTTTAGAAATTTTGTTTTATCATTTACAGGGCAGTAGTGATTTTTGGTTGATTACAATAGGATTTTAATTTTCCTTGTACTTTATGGTTACTTGACTTTGTTGCTATATATTGTTGCATTGGCATCAAAAGGTAGAAATCAAGGAAACTCCAAGACCTACAAGAACTGTTCAAGTGATGTTACACATTCATAGTGTTTTGTAATAAATTAACGAGTGATCATTGTGATAATCGTAATATTGTGACAAATTCATCATCTCTGTGTCATTCACACTTACAAGTATGTCCACTAGTTTGGTTTTTTTATTAATAAATCCAAATTTTATTTGAAGGAATTTCTTTAAATACGCTGAGTAGAAACAGAAAATATCATGACCCCATAAACAAAAGGAGGTTTTTGACCTTTTTAATGATTTATTAAATATTTGTTGTTCCTTGTGTCATCATCTATAAATTCTCTCTCAGGTTTTTGTTATGTGGAATTTGAAGATTTGGAATCTCTAAAAGAAGCTTTGACGTATGACGGCGCTGTGAGTATTAGAACCTCAGACAAATGCCAATAAATAGGAAACAGATTGAAATTCCTGTTGCATGTCCATAAACTAAACCAAGAAAATGTAAAATGCTGAGAATGCTGGTTGAAGAACCTGAATAACCTTTGACCCGCAGTTGCTTAACGACAGGCCATTGAGAGTCGACATTGCAGAGGGGCGTAAGCAAGAACGGGGAGCTGGAGGCTTTGGCTTTAAAAGAGACGACAGCAGAGGTATGAAACATGTACACTGTGGTCACTGAGCATGTGGTTGCGTGTTGAATGTCTGAACTTTCTTCATCCCTCATATAACATTTCATTATCCCAATACACACACACGAACAAACAAACAAACAATTTCTTACAGGTCGGATGCGTTTTTCTTTTTCTCCCACTGCTTCCACTCTAACGTGCTCTTGTGATTGGCTGAAGGACAACTAACAGCTCTGCCTCTTCAGTGCTGACTTTCCAGCTTTTTCCAGGAGGCGTCACCACCTCCTCCTCTGTTTCCTCCTCACTTTATTTCCCTCTTCTCGTCTTTTCCTTTACCTACGCTCTTTGTCGTCTTTATTTCCCTGCCTTCTCTTTCTCTCCCCTCTTCAACATTCTGGTCTTTTCTCCATCTTCCCCCTTCTCCTCACTCCCTGACACTTCTCTCCTCCCCCCTTGTTTATCTCTGAACTCCATTCTCCTCTAATGGAACTTCTTTCTGTCTTTATCTTCCGCCCTCTTTTCTTCCTGCCCCCTCCCAGTTGTCTCCTGTTCTTTTTTCCCCTCTTTCCTCAGCTTGTATCTTCTCCCCTCCCTCTTTTCTGTATTTCTTCTCTCTGTGTTGAAGTCTTCCACCTTCTTTTTATCTCCATCTTTCCTCCCTTCATTTTACCCCCTCCCTCCTCTGCTCTTTCC